CCTTTGATTGTGTGGAATGACCAACATTAAAGCTGCTTATAAAGGGCTGGGGATTTGGTAGAAGATTTATAGGGGTTATAGATCAACTATATTCAGACAATACTTCAGAAGTAATAGTTAATGATGGTTTAACAGAGCGGATTTTTATAGGCCGAGATACAAGACAAGGCTGTCCACTTTCACCAATATTATTTTGTATGGTTATAGAACTCTTAGCTAATGCAATAAGAAATGATGAATCAATTAAAGGATTATGAAAAAATGATACAATTAAGATTAATTATTTGCTGATGACTCGTTATTGACCATTAAAACCCATTAGAATGTATGGATAATATTAAAAATCATTTAGGAAAATTTGGGGAAATAACAGGACTGTTAATTGAAAAAAACCACAAATAATGATGTTTAATTATAATAAATATGAACAAGAAATGTTTGTAAATAAATACAGTGGAACCTCTACTTATGAACTTAATCCATCCCAGAAAATGTTCGTTAGTTGAAACATTCGTAAGTAGAAGCAAAATTTCCCATAGGAATGCACTGAAAACCATTTAATCAATTCCGGCTGTTTTTCGTAATTCTCTAGAGGCGCTGTTCTTAAGTTGAAGCATTAGTTCCCATAGGAACAAATGCAAAGCCGGTTAATCCGTACTATACCACTGGGGGGGAATTTTTCTTCTTTTGACCCAGGATGAACTTAGGTCAAAAAAAGGGCAGGAAAGGAGGAAGGGAACACCTTCTAAACAGAACACCTTTAAGAACAAGCAGCTTTTTAAACAAAGCCAAGCCAAGCACCTTTTAGGTAAAAAAGGGGGGCAGGAAAGGAGGGGGGAGGGAGGGAAGGAACAATGGGGAAAAGAGGAAAGAAAGAAAGAAAGAAAGAAAGAAAGAAAGAAAGAAAGAAAGAAAGAAAGAAAGAAAGAAAGAAAGAAAGAAACACATTTTAAAACAAAAGACAGGTCACAGTACACAAACGCTAACAGAATCCAGCAAGCATTATTCCATCACAGAACTCCTCATCACAAAAAGAGAGTCTAAATTGCATTTTACAGCCTGCCTGCATCAACAGCCAGCACAGCCCCTTCACAGAATATTTTCTGATTTTAAGGGGGAAAAAGGCTGTGGAGTCTAAACTGCATTTTACAGCCTACCTGCATCAACAACCAGCAACCATTATTACAACAAACAGTTCCTCAAAGGAAAAAAAAGACTTTGGAGTCACATTTTAAACCCACACATTTTAAAACAAAAGAGGTGATAGTACACAAAACCTAGAAGTCACAGAATGCAAAAATAAATAAATTTTACATTTTAAAAATACAGTCTAATTTTCACATTTAATTTTAATTTAATATTATAGTCTACGTTTCATATTTTAAATTCACACTGCAAGACCCATCAGTGCACAGAAACATAACCCCCCACCTAGCCCTACCCACACCAAGCTGCAAAAAACCCTGTACAGTACAGTAAATACTGTACAGTGTATGTACTCACCCAGAACAGGCAGGCTCCGTTTTTTTAAAAAAAAATCAAAAATCCAAATAAAAATAAAAATAAATAACAAAAAAACAAAAAAACCCAACAGTCCGTACAGGGCAATACCAGGCAGTCTGAAGACTCTCTCCCTATCCACTCTAACCGCTTGGACAAGCGATGTTGTAGAGAAACAGCCTCTTTGCTGGCCAACAGTCAATTGAAAGTTCAAATTTCGCACTTTCCCCACCTCCCCTGTGGTTTTTTCCCGTTTGTATCTTGAAGCTCCATTCGCAAGTAGAAGCAATATTTTGCGAACGGAGCTGTTTGTAAGTTAGATTGTTTGTAGCTAGGGACATTCGTAAGTAGAGGTTCCACTCTATGGTTTTAAAATGTGTAATATATTAAATATTCAGGTATAAATATACTGTAGTTAAAGTGACTCAAAAATTAAAGGAGCAAAATTTTAATAAATTAAAAAGTGATATTAAAGATAACTTGCAGGATTATACTAAATTGAAACTATCGTGGTTTGGGAGAATTGCCATGATCAAAATGAAAATATTACCAAAAATTACTTTTTGATTCAGGATGCTCCCAATACAATTAAAGGAAGAAGATTTTAAGTATTGACAGGGATTAATTAATGGATTTTGTAATCAAGGTAAAAAATCTAGAATAAATAAAAGCTATTGGTATAAGGTGCAAAAAATGGAGCTTTAGGTATTCCTAATATAAAAAAAATTATATAGCGAATCAGTTAAGATTTATTGGAGATATTATATACAACAAAGAAAGGTTAATTTGGTGGGATATGGTATCCTCAGGAGTAAATAGGAATACTGAAAAATATTTATTTAATGTAGTAAAATGAAATACAATAAATCAGGTGAACAAGCCTTTTTAAAAAAAAACATGTTAAATATTGGAACAAAAATAAAAAGAAGTTGTAGCGAACAGCCCTGCCCTCACCTGTCCATCACAGCTGAGCAATGGAGAAGGAGCCAATAAGTGGACAGAAGGCGGTGCCAAGGGGGGAGGGGTTTGGATATAAAGGCTGGTGTATGGGGTATGAAGGAGTTTGAGTGAGTGAGAAGAGAATCTGTGAGTGAGAGAGATTCTGGTATTGAGAGACTGTGTGAAACTTAAGAGTGAACTAAGAGTGAGTGAGAGATCTGTAAGGACGCTGAATGGAACAGAGAGTGGATAGATCTTTAAAGTTGAAGTATAATCGATTCAGATTCATGTGAGTAGCAACCTGTGATTTACTTATCAAATATTAATCAGTTGTTAACCTCCCTAATCAAATAAATAACTTAAGTTTTACAATCACACGTGTCTCCTTGATTAAGTGGTATTAAAGCAGTAATACCTGGTGGCAGCGAAGCAGAAAGAAAGGCGAGAACCTTATGAAGGCCTGGGGAATAGGGGCTTCAGAGGAAATTGCCACAGAAGTTATGTCCCTTTACTCCACCACTAAAATTAGTGACTGAAATAGAAAATTTCATAGCAAACTTGAAGGGTTTAGCTGATATGTTTAAGGACAAAAAAGTTGCCAGATTGAGGGACTGGATGATTAAAATGAAATCGAAGGATCAGATTATAGTTGAACTTCAAGCTAAAAAATTATCATGGTATAACTGTATCCTATTAGAAAGTTGGACAAATGAATGGTTGAAAACTAATGGCAAATGTAGAGAATGTACTAAGTACGAACAATTTCTATCATCACATGAAGACATGCAGAAAGATGCTTTGAGGAAGAAAGTAGTAAGTAGAATTTATAACCTAATTTTGGAACAAGAGGAAAAAGATACAGAAACAGAAGGTTTGAAATCAATTCGGGAAAATGATTTAAATTAAAATAGAGTATTGGATAAAAATTTGGAAGATGAGAGTTTTAAGATTAATGTTGGTAAGAATAAAGGAAAAAATTAAAATTAGTTTAAGGTAGTATATGACTCCAGTGAAATTGAATACTGTACAATAAATTCAGACTATTCTAAGGCCTGTTGGAAATGTGATGAAGAAATTGGCACGTATTATCATATGTGGTGGGAGTGTAAATGGATTCAGAAATTTTGGAAACTGATTTTTAAGGAAAGATGTGATATATTCGGAAAAGATATTGAATTCAATTCTAAAATTGTTTTGTTGTCAATTTTTGATAAGATAGAACTTGATTACTGCTCAAAGGAAGTGCTAGAATATTAATAGCTAGGTTTTAGAAAGACAAAAATGATATTAAATTAGAAGATTGATATAATGAGGTATGGGACATTGCATTAAATAATAAATAGACTACTGAAATTTAAGATGAAAAGAGGGGAAATAAATCAAATATTTTATGCTATTTGGGGTAGATTTGTTGAATATGTATTAGTGAAAGGAAAGGGGAAAGCCTCTAAACAACACTCAATACAATTTTGGAAAAGAGGTTTGTATTAAAAGTATTGTTCCAAAGGGTCCCGTGGGTATGAGGTACACTGTGGTTTAGATTGCATAGCAAGTATTTTGTATTTTTGTTTTAGAAATTTTTAAAAAAAGGAAGGCAGAAGACTTATCAAAAAAAGACGGTAAGTGAGGCAGAGGCTCCGAAGCAGTCCTTTGTGTGCTGTTGCAGTAGACAAAAAAAGGACTGAGGAGAGCAAGACATACAGGCAGAGAGGCACTTTCATTTTTGAGGCTCTGGAACTTTCTGAAGTGGGGTTTGCACAGGCACACAACCTATCTGTGTATATACCTGGACACCATGATAAAGAAGAACAATTTTCACTCTGCACTGCCCCTCTACACTGTTCAATTCAGTAAAACACAAAGGAGAGGTCTTGAGCTTTCCAATACTTGCCTAGAGAGTGAAAACTACAGAATCATTAAACAATGGTTGTAATAAAACTTTGTGAAAAATTTTTAAAGCATTGTCTCCACCATTTGTTTCTGTGGGAAAACAACAATGTAGGGTTATGTACAATATATGTAACTATACTGCAGCTATACCATAATCCTATTATAAAGCAATGTAACTTGCTTTGAGTCAGTAACGAAAGTACTGAAAATAATGCCATGTGTGCTTGATATCCAACTGGCAAAAGGATTAGGATTTTTCTCCCTTACCCCTCCTGCTGCAGCTATCTATGGCAACTTTCCGGCAGTCTAGTGCAGATTCTTCTAGGGTGCACCTGGGGCTGCAGAAGAGTAACGGATTCTTGAGAATGCAGCAAGAGGAAGTGGAAGTACACCACTGAATGCTAGCCACTGCATTTTATTCCAAGTGTAAGACACTTGCAGTCACACAACACTGGCACAATTAGCTTAGGGAACAGGCAGTTATATAGAAAACCTATCCAGTACTCTAAAAGAACTACAAAGAAAAAGTGAAGAAAAAATGTATGCTCTTTCTATGGGTGGTTGATCATTTTGCATTTCTCAAACTGTAACGTTCATACACCAATCCATGGCAAGCCTAACCACCAGCATCCTTAAATCAATTCCCAACAGCCTTTCTCTATTGCCTTTACCTTGCCAATCAAGGATATTGCGGGCAAATTCCACCACTGCCAACTGCATTCCCAAGCAGACTCCTGTAGAAACAGAACAGGAAAACTCACAACAACACATAGCAATCTACAAATCCCTAACAGCACTTCTGTAACAGCCATTATTTGGATTCAAGTCTACTATGGTACCAAACTACAACAATGGCAGATCTTATTTGTGGTACCCTGGGGGGGGGAGCATTCTGCAGTTCAACTTCAAACATTTTGCAGTTTGAGGTCATACATATATGACATCCAACAAATGGCATCAAATTCACAGATCGGATAAACACCACTAAGGTCAGAGGTAAGCAACATGTGGCCTGCAGGCAGCCTTCAGCATGTAAGAGGCTCTGCAATACCCCGAGACTCTCATTAAAAATAAAATAAAATAAAACATTTTTAAAAATAAATAAAGTCCCTTTGCACTCCTCAGGGAGCATAGAAAGCATTCTGCAACACGGGGGGGGGGGGAGATGCAGAACCACATTGAATACCTCAATTTAAAGAAAGGTTTGGTTATAGTCATGGGAGTGGGTGCAGCTCACGTGCGGCCTTCGGATGTTTGGACATTGCCCACCACTCAAGTAGGTTCACACACCTCATGTTTCTGACATTCAGGTAACATACTGTATGTTTATGACTGAGACAGTAAACTACTATGTAGGCGGTATGTATTCTCACTTTTTATACACAAAACAGTATTGGCATATACTGTCTTACCTAAGAAGGGTTTTTTCTGTTTTCTTGCCCAAGAAATAGCTTGTATCTTCCCTTCTGTTCCGCGAACACCAAATCCACCTGGAACCAGGATTCCACTACATAAAGAAGAGGGAAATCCACTTCGTTCACTTCACATTTCACATAACATATTTTAGCTCCCTAGAAACACACAATCCCTTTTGATCTTAAGAGTTAAAGCAGTGCTGCTTATAAATATGCATCAGAGAAAACACAACCACATAGTCAATGAAAGCAGCTGCAAAGCAACTGGGGAGAGGCATGGTCTGAAGAACAGAAGCAGTGAGGGGCATCCATAATGTATATACCCATGTAACCCTCTTTCCATCTGCTGCTTTCCCTTTTCCCTAGCTGCAGCTAACAATCTTCAGAAACACCAGCTGAAAAGAGGAAGGAGTTTTCTGCTAATTCCTCTTCCTGACAAATTCTTACTATCATTTCATTGTAAAATATCATTGCTATTCAGCAGACACTTGGGTTTTTGAACAATGTTCTCCATTTAACATGTACTGTATATGGGAACTCAATCTGAAGTCACACAACTACCATAAAACAATATAGGTTTCAAAAACAGGCTACAATGTTCCCAGCCTCCTTAAGTCATTTTTCAGGTTTGTCAACTCTGTGCTGTCAGTCTATAGTGGGAGTCAGACGTGTTAAGAGAACTCCCATCCCCCAGACAAGTATGAGTTCTTACAACTAAGATAGACTACAGTGGGGTCTCGACTTACGAACGGTTCTACATACGAACTTTTCGACTTCGAACCCGCCCAATAGGAAATTACATACTCAACATACGAACTTCCCTCGAGTTACGAACAGGAAAAAAGTGCCCCCTCCCTCCCCTTAGAGGTTTCTGGAGGGGAAAAAAGGTACATTGATTCATTCTGTGGCAGAATCACATTGTCATTACCAACTGCTTTTAGTGACATAGTAATTTTGAACATGGAGGTTCATGACTATCATTACTAATAGCCATTGATAGAAAGACCAGATGCCATTCATTTCTCCTGTTCCTTATTCAATAGCATTCAATAGCAGCACAGTTTCTGCACAACATTTAATAATTGAGCAAAAATATATGAAGCATTTTGTCTATCAGGATGATAAGATAAAAAGGTAAGGCTGCTGCTTCAACTCTATCTAAACAACTTGGCTTGACTAGAAAGCTGTACAAATCAGGGAACAAGATAAGCTTACAATAATGGCATATTTTCCAAAAGAAAGCAAGGTTATCAGTGTCTTACTCAGCACTGCAGAGTTTCTGCCAGGCCTCATGGTATCGAACGGGCTCTTCTTGCAGAGTAGTAGGTTCCAAGTCAGCAGAATCAATGTACTAGAAAGAAATAGCAATTTTAAAAAATAAGCAGTATCGTGTCAGAGGTACCACCATGGAACAGCAGTTCATGCAAACCTTTACAGTAATTTTATTTAGCATTGACTTTGGTATTTGCACGGTAATCTAAACATCAAACTAAGCATATTATTGTACTCAAGTGCCACATATTCAGTGAAAACGTCTTAACTCTCACAGCAGTACAACAATAGAACCAATTAGGTGATGAGCAGAAGTGGTGAGCAGTCCAATACTGGAGACATTCAAGAGAAAACTGGGCAACCATCTGTCAGATCTGCTTTGCTACAGATCCTGTACTGAGCAGGGGATTGGACTCAATGGCTCTATAGGGTCCTTCCAACTCAATTATTCTATGATTCTATGAATCCCAGCTTGTCAAGGATGAGGCTTGTGCAGGCTGCCTAATCACTCCTGTTAAGTGAGAACAGCTAACAAACTACAGACGTTCGACCCATGTTTTATGTACTGTGACATGTGAAGCCACCAGGAACTGGTTCTTTGGCTGTCGTTTCCCCAACCAGATAGAAAAATAATACAGTGTTTTAGAGTCAGCACTCTGATTTGTTGGGAGGGAAACCAGTCAGACAGCTGGCTTCTGACAGGTTTGCACGTTGCAATAAACAAACCATACAATGAAGTTAGCCACTCCTACTAGTGACTAACCTCAGGGTTAGTTCACAGGTTAAACCTGTGTGTGTGTGTGTCCCCAAAAAGCTGAGACTTATGATCATGTGTAAACCAGCCCAATGCCAAATGATTTTCAATTGTATTTCCTAAGCTACACAAGTGACATCTCCTGTTGACTGTAAAACAAATGTAATTATAACAATTAAGTTATTGTTTTGCTTTCTGTTCGGAGTCAACTGGCAAAGTTCCATCAACTACACAAGGTATTGTATTTTAAATGCTGTAAGCCGCCCAGAGACCTTTGGGTAGTGTGGGCGGCATATAAATTAAATAAGTAAATAAATAAATAAATAAATAAATAAATAAATAAATAAATAAATAAATTGGCAACTGTTAATTCTGTAATCATGCACACATTCTAATTACTGTGTTCTTTTCAAGAAAAATGTGTACGACATAAAGAATCATGGAATCTGATTTACGATTCTAAACGAGATGGAATTTGTTTCTAATAAAACTAGCTCCCATTATATTGTCACATGACAAAGTATACACATTAATATTGGATTGTTTGCTCAGCCTTTAAATACATGTCAGGATTTGTTCCTAACTTATGAACAAAGGGTTAAATTCCATACAGTATTGTAGAAGGAATGTAAGATGGATGACAAATGCAAAGTTATGCCTGTAAAAGTCAATGTGAAATGATTGACTGATGACATGTAGCTGGAACAAGCTTAGGTAGTGCTTGTTAACCACGTTCAGCTGCATGGTCTGTAGTGATAAGCTGCTCTTACTGTTTAAGCAGAAGAGCAGAAACAGCACTTTGCCACTCAGTAGTGACTCTGGTGGTCTTTACTTCTTTGAATGTCTGTGTTGTTCTAGGAGATTTATGCACAAGCTATGTATATAAGGCCATATATATATATATATATGTATGATCTATGCTGATATATAAACTCTGAATATATCAAGTTTCTTATCAAACTCTCTCGGTGTTTTTCCTAAACCTTAGCATCTTTATTCTGCTTATTAAAAGGGAGGATTTGAAGCTGCCTGATAAAGAGACTCTGTCTAACTTGTTATCTTGGGTTCCAAGTTTTGTTTTCTCTAACAGAGTGCTCTTGGAGTTTCAATATACAAACACTGACAACAAGCTTCTGGAGAGGCAAATGCCACATCTGTTTGGAGTTGGCACCTAGCCAACACATAATTACAGTCAGTCAGTCAGGGTCTTAATATAGCCAGGAAGTATAAAAAAGAAAATGGGTGCAACATTATAAATACACTTTTGGAACTGTCTGGCTAACCCAAAATCTATTTATAGGCATGGGCATCTTTATTTTTATTACTAAATCTTTAATTGCCAAATTAAAGCTTGCCCCTCAAAAAGGTAAAGAAATCAGCTGAAATTTCAGTGTCAACATCCCAAGTGCTATATACTACAAATTATATTCAATGACCACACAGTTAGCACCATGCACAGAAGTAAGCCTCTTGGGTGCTTGGAAAAAGTTGGGGTAAAAATATTTTAAATAAAATAATAAAAAACCTTTATTCTGTCCTAAAATTGTTTCCAAAGAAGTTTGAATATAAAGCTAAGTTGCTTGTATTTTTGCAGTGAAGGACATCCTAGCAAATTCCATTGAAGCCAGTAGAAATACATACTTTTATCTCAAGTTTGTGATTGATAGCCAGGGCAGAATGTTCCAAAGCTTTGATGACAGAGGCATAGGAATCAGAAAATTTTGTATATTTTCCAACAAGAGCAATAGAGCAAGTCTCCAACAAACGATCATATCTGTGTAAACACATAAGAAATGTAATTATTGGATGCACTCTTAGAACTCAGGCATAGGAAAACACCTATCAGATGAATTGTGTAATTCTACATGAACGTTCTATGGCCTGCTCTACATATTCAGAGAATGAAACAGAAAATTAGTAATATTTTTGTACAGTAGCAATATTTTTGAGTACAGGAGTGGAAGAAACAAGGGATTACGAAATGCCTCGCATATTAAAAGATCTCACTGAAGAAAAATATATCAAAGCTGGAAACAGGCTGGACTCAAACTTTTTGCCATTTTCTGCAATTCTCTCTTGTTTTACATGAGGGAGCTCTTCATAGGAGAAAAGTGGCATAGAAATAGAGATGGGCACAAACCACCGGTTCAGTGGTTCATTTAACAGCGAAACAGGTGTTCGACAGGTCAAAGCCCCACCTCCTCTGGAGGGCACCCACTCGGAGGCAGTGGTGTGGCCTCCCTATCTTGCCCTGTCTGTGTGCTGCCCAAACAACTGTTTGGCTACTAAATAAACTAGTGGTTTGTGTTCATCTCTAGAAATGAAATAAAACGAAATTAATACTCCTCCAATGCAACACACTATGCCAGCTCAAAACCAAATTATTTAATTTCACTGAACATGCAAACTAGACTTCCATGCGCCTAGAAAATATACTAACTTTTATATACTGTAGAAAGTGATTAAAACACAATCTTTTACAGGTGTACTAAAAAATAAGACCCAGTGAGTGCCTTGCCTGTTGCAACCATATATTTTGTTTGCTACAGCCATATATACTCTTTCCTGGATTCAAATACAACATCTGTTGTCTGTTATGTTCAAATTCAGTAAACCAAAGTTCTCCCCTTATTTAATTTTCTATTTCTAGGAAGCCCAAGACTATCATTAATTGTTTCAATCTGGCATAAGTGGGTGTGAGGAAAGTAGCACATAAACACCAGGTATTGTTGTAACATTGTGTTATGTAAATAAGTTACTATCTTCTATGCCTTTTTAAAAGTTGTAACAAATTCCGCTCACACACTTATTCTTAATTTTACAGATTACAAATAACTTTACAAATGACTTTACATGTGGACACACAGTCTAACATGTTCCTATGTATTAGAAAGCCATTTTACGCTTGCTCCATGTTAACAACTGTAAGAGCCTGTGCAGGTGAACACTGGAACCAGGCTATACAAAAACCTGCCAAGTCCTAATTTACCAGCAAAATTTACCAACTTCCCTAGTAGATGAACAGCTAGAAACAAAATGTATTCTTTTTCAAACATGACAAATCTGAGGAGGGCTAAAGAAAAAAGCCTTTCTTATATCCCCTTGACTAACACAGCCAGTCAGATTAGCATGGTAAGAAGCCCACCTGTCTGCCATTTCCTTCCACTTCATAAGCATTCTTCTAGGCTGTTTTTCAATGGGAAGGTCGAGCCTGTGACGAAAGTAATCAACTACCCCTTGTTCCTCCAACAATAAAGGTACCCGGTAGATGGAAGAGACATCATGAACACAGATTACCTGTTTAATAATAAAAGCAGAGAAAGCAAGAATAGTATGACCTTCCTTCCATTTTTATGATGGGTGTAATTATAAGCAAATGGCATCTGGCGGAACGCCTATTCCCACCAAGTTCTACCTGTGTCACTCGTGCGAGCCAGGAGGTGAGGTTGAGGAGCCTAACGCCGAGGGAGGCCCGGAAGGAGAAGACAAGAAATCGGGCCTTCTCGGCGGTGGCTCCTCGCCTCTGGAACAATCTCCCTCCTGAGATTCGCGGGTCTCCCTCGCTGGGTATCTTTAAGAAACAATTGAAGACATGGATGTTTGGGCAGGCCTTTCCATCATATTCCTCTTGACCTCCTTCTTCCCTCTTTACTATTTCTGTTTTGCACTCTATGTAATGTATTGTAGTGTTTTTATTGATTAGAATTGCTTATTTATATTGTTACTGTATTTTATTGTTGTTAGCCGCCTAGAGTGGTCCTCACCGACCAGATAGGTGGGGTATAAATTAAATAAATATATAAATAAATAAATAAATAAATCACAAGATCAAGATACTGCAATTTGCAAATGCCAGGTTTTGCTGTATAGTCATGTAATGCACTGGCTGAAAGCCTGTTTGCATAGGTACACTGTGTAAGGATGATGATGTCATCAGCTGTAGTGGGTGTTTTTTTTTGTTTTGTTTTGTTTTTGAAACAAAACATTTCTGATTCCTCTCTCTTGTCAAAGAGAAGCCATTGGGGTCTCCAGAACAGGAAGGAGTCTTTAATTATAGAAAATCACACAACCATCATGTAATGCTCTGATCTGATAACAATGGTTTATGACTAGCACCCTCAGCTGTGCCTTCAGGTTAAAAAGTATTCCATATATTTCCATCTTCCATAAAGTCACTTTAGCTACTTCCACCTTAAAGTTCTAATTCAAAATACTTAAACAGTTAAACCAACAGGTAAAGTGTACCCCGGAACTATGCTCATTGCTGCAGAAGATAATCATCATTGGCAAGTAACCACCTATGGCCATAAGTGATGGCCCTAATGAGGCCATATTAAGAAGTACTGTTTACATATTATGAATGGGTAATGTTCCAGAGGAGAAACATGTTAGCAGGATATAAGGAAAAGAGAATAACAGACTACTAGCAACATGCATGGATCAAAGATGTTTAGACAGAAATGCAAAGACCCAAATATGAAGTCCATAAACGGCTGAAGAAAGAGATGCAAAAAGCATCCTCCATTAAAGGTATTTTGCACATCCTGACTCATTACAGTGGGGTCTCGACTTACGAACTTAATCCATATTGGAAGGCAGTTCTCAGGTCGAAAAGTTCTGAAGTCGAATCTGCATTTCCCATAGGAATGCATTGAAAACCATTTAATCCGTATCTGCTCTTTTCGTCCATAGAAACTACTGTAATGGGAAGCTGCTATTCCGCCTTCTGCCACTAGAGGGGGATAATTTTTTTCTTTTCTCCTTTTGACCTAAGATGACTTAGCTTTAAAAAAAGGGGGGGGAAGAGTTCGTAACTTGAATCTAAGTTCGTAAGTCGAGTCCATATATTCCTATGAGAGCGGTTCGTAAGTCGAAACGTTCGTATGTCGAGCCGTTCGTAAGTCGAGACCCCACTGTAGATGCTTTTCTGAAGCTACAACCCATTTACAGTAATTATATCAGTTGTGCTCATGACCTGGGGTTCAATCCCAGGTAGCCGGCTCAAGGTTGACTCAGCCTTCTATCCTTCCGAGGTCAGTAAAATGAGTACCCAGCTTGCGGGGGGGGGAATGTGTAGCCTGCATAATTAATTTGTAAACCACCCAGAGAGGGCTTGAAGCACTATGGGGGGGGGATATAAGCAGCACCCTTTGCTTTGCTTTTTTTTTTTTTTTTTTTTTTTGCACATCTCTCGTTAACTGAAGTCAATAAAACTACAATTGACTCTCATTTTCCACTTACAATATTTATTCTAACAGTCTGAAAGAGATAAGATACAACACCTGGAAACAAAAAATACTACACAGATTCCAAGTTTAGCTTACTTTTTTTGTTTTAACAGTATACTAACACTTCTATAAATCAAAACAAAGGAAAAGACAGTGCATGAAAAGACAAAGAAGGTAGAAGACAAGTCAGTATTTTAATCAACTTCTCAAATGCTTCTTTGTCCTCAGGGATTCAAGGGATTAATATCCTGAAGAAAACTATTCAACAGTTTGCATTATATTTAATTATGAACTGCTTAAAAAGCAGTGGATAATCCCATCATAATTCTTGAGTGGGTTTTATTTTTTTGAAACTATATTCTTTAATATTCTTTAAAATTTTATTCTTTATATTCTTGAAACCTCAATATTTTTTTTAGTCTTGCCAAAGAGATATACTGGATATGTATCCTATATGTAATTCATAGATTTTACATGCATATATGAGATCAATTACTTAAAAGAAAACTCTGCAGGAAACAAAGGAAGGTAAAGTGATAGCTAAATAAAGTATCAAGAAGGATTACCTGTTCTGGTTCTACATGGCAAAACATGGAAATCTTCTCTTTCACTGAGGTATCTAGAGGAGTGGAACATCGGCATACAATCTAAAGGGAAAAAAATAACCCCAAAGAGTGGTGCTGTCAAACAACACTGAACCAACATTTAATGCAACCTTTCATATGCACCTTAAAAATGTTTGGTTTCTGTATGTACTTATGGACTTTCCTAGAATCCTTAAAGGCAGACAAGACAAAGAAAATGGCACTCATAGAAAAACAGAAGTAAGAGGTTAACAGGGATTATGGAGGGAACTGGAGCAGGAACTGGCAAGCCACTCCAGTATATATGCCAAGAAAGTTCCATGGACAGAAACAAAAGGCTACAAGATGACGCTGGAAGATGAGCCCCTGAGGTCGGAAGGCGTCCAACATGCTACTGAGGAACAGCAGAGAACAAGTACAAGTAGCTTCAGAGCTAATGAAGTGGCTGGGCCAAAGCCTGGAAGTGAAGTGAAAGGATAGTCCAATGCTACAAAGAAAAATACTGCATAGAAACCTGGAATGTAAGATCTATGAACCTTGGGAAGCTGGATGTAGTCAAACAGGAGATGGGAAGAACAAACATTGACATCCTGGGAGTCAGGGAACTAAAATGGATGGGAATGGGCGAATTCAATTCAGACGATTATCATATCTACTATTGTGGGCAATAATCCCGTAGAAGAAATGGAGTAGCCCTCATAGTCAACAAAAGAGTGGGAAAAGCTGTACTGGGATACAATCTCAAAAATGAATGTACAGTGGGGCCTCGCTTAACGAGCGCACCGCATAACGACGAAATCGCATAGCGATCCGTTTTTTCAGGTCGCTAATGCGATCGCTTAACGTTTTTCCTATAGGGCACAATTCGCTTTGCGAAGACCGGTAAGCGTTTCGCTTACCGATCTTCGCAAACCGAAGCCTGCCGATCAGCTGTTCGGCGGCCAAAATGGCCGCCGGAAGCCCGGAAATGGCCCAAAATGGCCACGCGCAGCGTTTTCGCGCCCTTGTTAAGCGAGGCGAGGGCGCGAAAATGGCTGCCGGCCATTACGAAGCTTCGTTGAACGGTGAGTATTTGGCCCATTTGGAACGCATTAAACCATGTTTAATGAGTTCCAATGGGCTTTTCTGTCCCGTTCAACGATGCTTCAGCATAGCGAAGGTTAATCCGGAACGGATTAACCTCGCTATGCGAGGCACCAGTGTATTGACTTTCATCCCCCTAAAATCGCAGGGAGGCATATAACAACATTACTGTATGCCGATGATGCAGCTATCATCTGTAGGACCCCAATTGGGCTTAGAAGAGCTTTGCGAAGGTTATCTATATATTGTGAGCAGGAAGACCTGATAATTAATTTTCAAAAAACAAAAATCATGTCTTTTGCCAAAAGGCCAATAATACGAACATGGAGGATAAATCAGCATAGAATTGATCAGATCCACCAATTTAAATACTTAGGTGTTGTTTTCCAATCAGTCAAATGTAAAATATCAATTTTCTAATCAGCCAATCTCCCTGGTAGGCAGTGGGAATGCTGAAGACACAATATATCTTGATTTTTGCAAAGCCTCTGACAAAGTGCCCCATTATATTCTGATCAGCAAACTTAGTAGATGTGGGACGTATAAACTGTCAGGTGGATACACAGTTGGTTATAGGATACTTAGAGAGTGCTTATCAGCTGAGTTGCCACAAGACTCAGTCCTGGGCCCAGTGCTCTTCAACATTTTTATTAATGACTTAGAGGAGAAGGTGCAGGAAATGCTTATCAAATTTGCAGATGACACAAAATTGGGTGGAATAATACCCTGGAAGACAGAAACAAAATTTAAAATGTCTTAATAGACTTAAGCACTGGGCTGAAAACAACAAAATGAAATTGTACAGGAATAAATGCTAAATTCTACACCTAGAGGGAAAAAACCCAAATGCACTGTTACAAGATGGGGAATTCTTGACTTTGTAATACTATGAGTGAGTAGGGTCTTAGAATTTCTATAGATCAAAATCTGAATATGAGCCAACAGTGCAATGTGGCTGCAAAAAAGGCAAGTGCTATTTTAGGCTGCATTAACAGAAATATAATCTCAAAATCTTGTTAAGTACAAGTCTTGCTCTATTTGGGCCTCATCTTGAGAACTGTGTTCAATTCTTTAAGAAGGATGAAGACAAACTGGAACAAGTTTAGAGGAGCGCAACAAGGATGATCAGGGGGATGAATACCAAACCCTATGAGGAAAGAACCAGGCATGTTTTAGCCTTGAGAAAAGAAGACTAAGGGGAAATATGATAGCACTTTTCAAATACTTGAAACTTGTCATACTGAAGAAGGAAAGGATCAATTCTTGATCTTCCCAGAATGCAGAATACACAATAGCAGGCTCATACTCATCACCTTAGAACTGCAGAGCTGTAAGGGCCCCTATGGATCATCAAGTCCAGCACCTGTTAAGGATAGTGGGGAATCGAATTCCCAACCTCTGGCTCCACAACCATACCACTGAACTATCCAGCAGTTCTTCAAGTTACCAGAAATGAGATTAAGGCTGAATATCTCAACAAATCTTCAAACTGTTAGAGCAACAGAACAATTGAACCAGTTACCTTGGGAGATAGTGAGTGCTCCAACGTTGGAGGTATTCAAGAGAAAATCTGTCAGATACACTTTGATATGGTATTCCTGCATTGAGCTGACGGTTGGACCTGACTCCATTATTTTTTGATTTTATGACTTTGCTAATAAGCCACATTACATGTGAATCACTTGATACTCTTCAGTTTCTGCAAACAGATTGCCTGCATTTTTCACGATTATTTCTTTTATGATAACTATGAATATTCACAGATCTTTCCATGCCAAGCACAGAATGTCCAAAGATTTTTCTAAAATCCAGAGCGTGTGTTTTCTTTATATCACAGCAAAACTTACTAGATCTGGTGAAAGACCAAGACCTCGGAGTTCACGGACACTATTCTGTGTGGGTTTTGTCTTTTGTTCTCCCGTGGAACTTGGCTATAAGGTGTGCGGAAAGAAACATATATGAAAAGACAATTACATCAAACCAAAGTATCATGTATCACAGTGAGTAACTATGGCCATTTAGTCATACATGAACAATTGCTTTAACACAGTGGTTCTTAACCTTTTTGAAAGAAACGCCCCCTTGAGCTATTGAGGAAGTTATCATCGCCCCCCTCTTATTTCTTACTATATCTTATTTATTTATTTATTTATTTATTTGTTTGTTTGTTTGTTTTGTTTGTTTGTTTACGACACTTAAATCCAATGACCCCTGAAAACAAAATTCAATTCCAAGAAAATGAAATGCCCCCAAAAAGTAACATTTAATGATTTAGTTGCAAGCGAATTTTTAAGACTCAAAAAGAAATTTAAAAAGGGCATAAAATGCAGGAACTAAAAATTTCAAGACAAAAACTTTGAAACTAAATTAAGATAGGAGGAAAATATATATTCATGCACATTGTAAAAAGGCTGCAGCCATCTTCACAGGTTTGGCTTGCTCCAGCGCCCCCACACCGCCCCTTTTCGTTCTACCGCCCCCCTGAAAAATGAAATCACCCCCTGGGGGGCATTATCGCCCAGGTTAAGAACCACTGCTTTAACAGATGCTCCCTTAAGGGAGAAACAGCAAACAAGTGAAGAAGTGGACTAATTATTATATAACCATCAGAATGTTGTGGTAAGGCATTAGTACACACAGAGTTTTAAGCAGGAAGCTCCAAGAAGCTCACATGCCACTTTTAGGATCACAACTCTGAGTAAAGATAAACAAAACCTACAAGATATAGGTAGAAATCCAGTTGGCATAGCTATACCAAATAAACAATGATACTGTAATAAACAGGAAAAAAATGATCATTTTAAAAATACTTTTTAGAGCCCACTTACCTGTGGTACAAGACTGACATGAATATTACAAAAGTTTTCTCGCTTCACTTTGAATTGGAATTGGCGGAATGCCTCAATAAAGGGCATGCTTTCAATATCTCCCACTGTTCCTCCAAGCTGAAAGAGAGACATAACAGCATTAACCATGGTACTGGTTTTAGATGACACAGCCTATACAGTGGTGCCTTGACCTACGAACGCCTGGCCTATGAACAATGTGACTTACAGACAGTTCTGGCCGCAAAATTTTGCTTTGACTTGAGGCTGGAGCTTTGACCTATGTATGGAAAAAGGCTGGGGAAAAAGGCAGGCAATTCAAATTTCAAACTGTAGGTGGTGAAAAAGGCTGCTCCTTTGAGCTCTTTTGCCCCCAACAGTTAGGAAAAGGGATGAGGCTGCGGTGGCGGCAGTGAGGGTCTGGCTGGGAGGCAAGGACCCATCCCAGCTGGGCTCTGGCTCCCAGCGCTGGGTTCATCCACACTGCTCGCTTCCCGGGAGCCAGATCCCAGCCAGGAGGCGAGGATCCATCCCGGCTGGACAGCGGTAGAAGCCTGAGATGCCTCCCGCTGATAGTGACTTTGGGGGCAGTGACCCCGCGCGGCAGTGGAGGAAGGCCAGGTAGGCTCCCGGAAGGTTACAGGGGTGTGGCGTTTTTGGCCCTTGTGGGCCTGCATGAGGGCGCCGGAAGGCCAGGTAGGGTACCTGAGGGCAATTGCAGGTGGCGGTTTGGGTGACGGTGGGCCTGCGTGGGGGTGGAGGAAGGCTGGGTAGGGTCCCAGAATGCTATTGCTGGCACCGGTAGACCCGTGTGGGGGTGGAGGAAGGCCCAAACCACCACCTGCAGTATCCCTCTGGGACCCTACCCGGCCTTTCTCTGCCCCCATGCGGGCCCACCGGGCCCAAAACTGCCACCCCGTGCCCTCCCAGACCCTACCCAGCCTTTCTCCACCCCCGCCAGTTCCAGAGGCCTCCCGGCAGCGGCGGTGGAAGCCTGGGAGGCTTTGGACTGGCAAGGTGCTTTTTCCTTTTTTAAAAAACTGTTCTGGGTGGGTTTTGGAGGGTGGGTTTAGACGGGGGGGTTATGTCTCTGTGCTGTGTTGTTTTGTTTTTGGATTTGTGGTTTTTGTTGTTTTTTTGCAGTCCCAGCATGGGACTTGCTCTGTTTATTTTCAGTTTTTTTTGGGGGGGGCATATTAATCGTTTTCAATGCATTCCTATGGGAAATGGTGCTTTGACCTACGAACGTTTTGACTTGCGGCCACCATTCCAATACCGATTAAGGTCGTAGATCAAGGCACCACTGTATTAACGTCATTGTTCAGAACTATCAACAGATTCAGCTAAAAACATTCATCATCCTTAGACTACCTTAGTTGTACTTACATATCAAAAGTGACCTCTTAATGTATGATATAAATGCTATGGCACAAGTCATAGTATTTTCTGTTCTTTTCAAGTAGTCAAATAAGGCTAACTGGAGAAATTTGGTTCCTGACATTTTCACACTTCCAATTCTACCCAATCAATTTCTTCTGTGCTCTCTTGGATCATACACATGGCTTGCCTACCTACCTTCTCAAAATATTAGTTTGAAATTAAGCCTAAATTCACTTTTTAAAGAGCTGACATTTCTGCTTTAATTAGCAGATAATAAGCACTAGGTAAATATTAGATCAAAAAATCTGTTGATCACAGTCACAAGCATCCTTAATAGAACCCTGAATACAGGTCCTCAGTATTCAACTGACTGATGTGTATTTTCTAACATAATATTTAGTCTATAGCCTCACAACAGACACAGGAGAAAACATGTACCAACCTCAATTACACAGACTTGAGGTTCTATGCCATCTTCATCTACAGGGATTTGTGCCTGTCTCATTACCCACTCCTGAATAGCATCTGTAATGTGGGGGACAACTACGAAACAAAGAGAATAACACATTTGTCTATTTCTGAAACTATAATTCATGGCTAAAGCTGTATCGTTCAATCCATTTACTGCATTTCATTTGCTCCACATTCCAGCAGAGAATTTTGTTTATTTCAATGCATTTTTAATGATCAACAACAATTTCCCTAAATTTCCAATTAACAAACTTTGAAGACTTAAGTTTCAAACCGTATCAGCAGAGGCTTGTCTTTAATTTAAAATTTAGTATAGAATAAATTATTATACTTGTAATTGTACTTGTAATTCCCTTAGTTTCATACTCAGGCTTGCTAATGCAATGACAGACCAAATCAATAATCATAATACAATCTTCTTGTAGGTGAGTTTTTGGCAAATTTAGCCACTTTTGCAAATAGCAGAAACCAACTAAGAACCCTTGGGCATTGTATACTAACATGACACTTCTTAACAACAAATCAATTCTGGTATCATTATGCGTGAATGGTACAATAATGACAATGGTATAGTAAACAGTTTTAACAGCTATTTTAAAAATATATCAGCAGAAGTCCAGTTAGTTTTTGTGGAGGATTGTGTAATTTATTTATTTATTTATTTATTTATTTTATATCCCACCTATCTAGTCAATAGACCACTCTAGGCGGCTGCAACTAACTTTGGCTTATTGATGAGTTGCCAAAGGCACATGCCATGTGTGTGATCTGGCAAATAACCAGCAGGAGTCCAGCACCTCCCCAATGAGCCATGGCATGTTATGTGATTACAAATACCAATTCGACTCCAGCCATCACTCTTACTTTTTTCAACTGTGTACATCACTTTGCAAGTTACAAACTATAGAGAAAAACAGAATTAACATGAACTGTTCATCACTGTCATTAACAGTACAAAAACAGCATTCAGTCAGTATCATTAGCTCACAATAAATTAAAATTACCTTTCAGTTCAAATAACATCACCAAAAAACCTAAGGAAAAATATTGAGAGAATATACTGAATCTTTCTAGGTATTAAAACAGGATGAATCTATCTCCATCATTTTACCTTGAACAGTTTTGCCCAGATAGTCCCCTTTCCTTTCTTTGTTGATAACATACTGATAGATCTTCCCTGTGGTCAGGTTATTATCTTTTGTTAGTCGGATATCAAGAAAGCGTTCGTAGTTGCCCAGGTCCAAATCCACTTCCCCTCCATCATCCAACACAAACACTTCGCCTAAAATAGTGACATTCACAGGTTAGGCTTGGCTTGAAACAATAGCTATCTTCTTTTCTAAGCCTACATTGTCAAAACGGGCCCTAAAAGGAACAAACCTTTTCTTGTTCATGCAGTCCATAGGCACAAATAACTAAACGGGGATAAAAAGCTGAAAGTAACCCTAACCTCCCCAAATGGATCCAATCCAGAGACCATATTCTCCCAATATATTTTCATTTTAACTGTTAACCCACAGATTAAATACAGACATTGGTTTAACTCTACTTATGTAGAACAAGGCTACATAATAAAACCATGCGTAATTTGGCCATGTGTCATACAAAAAGGACTTTTTATCCCATCTTACCATGCTCATAAGGAGAGAAAGTGCCTGCGTCAATATTAATATATGGGTCAATCTTAATTGAGGTAACATGCAATCCACATGACTTGAGAATTGTTCCAACGCTGCTGGCAATTATTCCTTTCCCAATCCCAGAGATAACACCACCTGTTACTAGAATGTACTTCATTTCCTTCAATATCTAAAAAAGGAAAACACTGTCAAACATTTGTTTTGGTACTAAGGCAACCAGATCCTCTTTTTAATATATACACAGCAACAGTGGTAGAACAAGAAGAAAAATATGTAAAATATTTACAGAAGAGATATATAAACACCTTCTAGACTGGCAGTGGTGAATGTGTGGTCCACCAGCTGTACTGCAATTCCCATCATCCCTAACCAGCACAGACACTAGTAGGTGATAATGGGTATTAAAGTCAAACTATGTCTGGAGGGCCAAACATGCTATGTCTCTAGCCTACACAAAACCATCTTCAATTAAGTCCTACTAAGTATGTTCTACTGATACATTCCATGTAAGGTTGAGAAGTCAAGAACAAGCAGAAAAACAATGAGATTAAGTAAGAATTTGATCATTTCATTAATTTTGGTTCCACTGTTCAATATAAAAGTGTATCTTGGAAGCAGGTTGCAGAAAAATCTTAAATGTAATGTGAAGACACAAGTTACAATGAAAACAACAGATAAGCAGCAAGATAAAACAAAAATGTTTTAGAAACACTCAAAAACATGGGAACATTTTAAATGTTTATGCTCATAGAATTTGAAAGAGTTGTGCAACCCCCATGCGGCCAGACCAGTGGCTCCTCAGGCATAGAGATATAGCCATAGGTGACCATCTATAGTGGTGTTTGTTGGGAGCAGGGATAAATGAATATATAAAACAATGTAAAGACAGTAGGAGCAATACTGCAAACATAGCATAGCAGTTGGTGTGTTGAACTAAAATTGGAGATAAATGCATCTTCAAATTCCTAGTAAACAATCTTAGATCAGTCACTATCTCTCAGCCTGAACTATATTTAAGAGCTGTTGAGAGGATATATGTGGCAAAATGAACCATATATGTGCTCCATAGAATGATAAATACCTAAATAAATCAGATTTCATAAATTAGTAATTTTAAGAACTAATAAAATGAATTTAAAATGCTTTAAAACTATATTAAACAGATTATTTTAAAAATAAACATGAAACTGAGAAATATAATCATGAAAGAATAATTGGGACATTCGGATGCCCACCACAATGATAAATATCCAAACACACCATCTAATCACTTATTGCTTTTTTTAAGAGATTTCTCTTGTAAGATGCAGGTGCAAAAAATGAAGGAGATTTGTGGAAGAGTTCAAAAAGAAAAAGAGAGAAGGGGAAAGGAAAACTGTCTACAACCAGAAAAGACAAATAGAAAGGTACTCCATAAATAAATTGGGAATATGGCTGGAATGCATAGGACACATGACTTACAATCTTATATCTCCAATGAAATATCTTTCCTGGAATTGCTTCCAATTACAGCTGCAGTCAAAAACATTTCTTCCAGGAGGAAGGAATGCAGAGATGGTGAAATATGCCCTATTTACTGTATATTGTTTATTCTATGTATATAAGCCATATTTTAGCCAAGGCTTTCTAAGCAGCATAGTCAGTTCTTTCCTTCCACCCACTGTATCTTTCTTAAAGGTATGAGACAGGTCACATTAAAGCTCAGAGATTACCAAGATCTTCCAATGAGAACTTGATAGCTGACTCAGGAAGATTTGTACCTGTGTCTCACCTCTTCCACCCAGTCCTGCCCTTTTAACCAATACAGCATAGTGGCCATAATCAAGATATGGGAATGAATCTATGCTTTATAATAAACCTGATGGGACCAGAATAATCCATTACAAACCTGAGCCCCAGTTATTTCAGTGGGTCTACTTTAAGTATGTCTAAGCCTGGATCCAACCAAATGATCAGCAGAAACCATTAACATCTCCTGAAAAAGACTGAAAAAGAATATTGCAAACCAATAACAACAGGAAGGAGCAATGATATTATGGCAAATTTGGAAGTAAAATAGGAAACCCACCCAAACGCAGATAAAAGGGAACTGCATATACAACATACAAGGGGGCAGAACAAAGGTGTCAAGGGGGTGCCCTTCTATGTTGTATACAGGGCTGCAGCAAACCACTGATAAGTGAAACCACATATAGTTAAATTTAAATTATTATAGTTAAAGTTAAATTTATCTCAGCATTTACTTCTGTCATACTATCGTAGCACCATTGAGAGTGTCCTAACCTATGGCATTCTGGCATGGTTTGGGAATAGCTCTGTCGCGGACAAAAAAAGCTCTACAGAGAACCATTAAAATTGCCCAGAATATCATCGGGCTCCAGCTACCAACCCTGGATGACATCTTCACATCCCGCTGTCTAAGGAAGTCACACAGCATCCTGAGAGACTCTTCCCATCCTGCTTATAACTTTTTTGAACTTTTACCATCTGGCAGACGATATAGAACAATTAAGCCTCGGACCACAAGTTTTCTCAATAGTTTTTATCCCAGAGCTATAATTGCAATTAATAATGAGCTTAAAGACCACCAGTAGTGAATAATTAGTTGGACTGTGTTACTTGGCCTGTGGTGCAGATGTTTGTATTTTTAGTGGGGGATTTTTTAGTGGGTGGGGAGTGTTTGGGGAATTTTATGTGTGTGCATGTGTCTGGTCTCTGGGTGTCTGTGAATTTCGTTGTATGGGTATACTGTGTATATACTTACAATGACAATAAATTATTATTATTATTATTATTATATATTGATCACATAGATATGGGGGTCCTACTGTATGGGTGTTTATCATGACAGCCCTCAGCCATCTTCTCCAAAGTGAGAGTCAAAAAAAATGCAAGCTATATTGGTCTGTATCAATTGATCCCATTCATGGATTGCTGCCTTGTCATGGTGGAGGGGCTTCAGTAATTCAGAGAAGCTATTGGCTATGCTGTGAAGGGACACCCAAGATGGACAGGTCATAGTGGAGAGTTCTGACTAAATGCGA